AAAAAAAAAAAAAAAAAACACGTACCCGGAGCGCGTTTGTGTTTGCGCGGATCTCGTCGTAATATAAATGGTAAAGCGACGTAATATAATTGTCGATGACAAAATGATCGGGACGCTTTCCGTCTCACAGATAATTCAAGATATATATATAATATATATATATATATAACTCTTACCAGATTTATTCCTATTCAAGGACGATGATAATAATTATTACCTTTGAATCTTGATATAGGAATAAATCCGTAGAGATGATTGTGTAAAAGGAAAAAAAGCGTCCTGATCATTCGTAGACGTCGAGACTGCAAGAAAGATGAAGATGGTGGAAAAAAAATTAAGAGGACAAAAGAGAGAATTTAATGAATTGTCTGTGAAGACACTAACCTTTTCGCGTTGGTGCGAGAACAGTTCTTTTTCTCTCTCTCTCTCTCTCTCGCTTTTTCTCTCTTTCTCGCTCTCTCTTTCTCTCTCTCTCTCTCTCTCTTTGTATACTCGAGCTGTCTCTGTGTGTTCACGAGAGAGCGCCGGCCCTTTGATAAGGGTGCTCGCGGATCTGACCCAGGTGTCTACGCTGCTTGGCAGCGGCCGCCGCTGCGCCTGTTGCCAACATACATAACATGAGTATATATGACCGAGAAGCCACGTCGAGAGTCACTTCCGCGGACACTTTCGCGTCCCGTTCCGTCAGCCTATAAAATCTAGAATCTTGCCGCTATTATCAATGCAAACGAGACACACACCGGAGAGGAACCCGTTTCATATCAAGAGAGAGATCTTATCTGGTGTAAATATACATATCGATGAGAAAGAACCGGTGAGTAAAAACGCATCGGACTCTGCTTCGTGGATATTATTATTATTATACCGGAGTATCTCTTTCTCTCTTTCATATGCAACGGATTCCAGTGTTGTTACGAATTGGAGAGCCTGTGATTACTACAAGATAGAGACGGTTCTCTCCGCTAGAGTATCAAGACAGTTTCTCTTGGTCCGCAATTCGTAACAGCACCGCCGGGATTAATTCTGGTTGTTGCCTACGGATCACGACCGATACGCGAGCCACGAGTTTACGATTTCTTCGTCACATCTCCGTTTCTCCCAGAGGAGTGGACTAACACGGAGAAGCTACTAAATGCTTGACTCGCGCGAAATACTGCTCGGTATTGACACGATACTCGCCGACACGCATGCATGTCCTTTACGCATGCCGTTTGGCTTTGAGCATCGCGAACATGGAATACATATGTAGAGACACTGCGATTCAATACTGAGATATTTTTGAATAAGCGAGAGATTCAGAGATACTGCAAACTCGTTTGATTTTATTTCATTTTATTTTTTTTTTTTTATAAGAATGTGGTTTCAAAAATTTAAATTTAATTATTTCAACTTTATTAACATTTATTCCTGTGAAAATCTCGTTACTTAAAGATACCTCAGTATTGACAGGATAGCGATTTTCATGGTTTCGACACGTGCTCGTCTCGATTTCTCGTAGCTTACATTCGGTCGTGTTCCTTAGGCTTGTGGTAAGCTTGCTCGTCCTACCATAACACTCTGTAAGAATACTGTATTATCAATGAAAGTAGTCGTGCATCCCTGAAAAATTTCGTGTTAAAAATATTTTGACATTTCGTGAGAAGCGAGATACGGTTTTTTGTCGGAGACACGCACTTACTTACTTACTTATTATACACTTCATTAAAGCCTACCATATTATCTCTACAAATATACATATCTCTTTGTCACTATCGACGTTTATAGGTACGTGAGAGATTTTTTTTACATGTGTGTTGCGTATATATAAAAATTCATTAAATACTTGAGAAAACCTATTTGACACCGGGTTTCTTCTCGCTCTTGGAGCAATCAAGATCCCATTTTTGATTCTTGTCGAGAAAATCAGGTAAATCTTTGTCATGTAATCTAAAATGTATCCAACCATACTCGTTCCTAACAACAATGAGTATTGAGATTATGTCTATCCGTTGCTTCGGCCCTTAACCTCGTATAAATATATCTATATAATGGCTAAAACTTTATAAAAATAAAATTAAATAAACGTATAAAATAATATAAGATATATATATGTATATATAATTTGCAAAACGCGAATTTTAATATTATTTAAAGACTATGCCATCAAAAGAGTATTGCGTGTCTATAAAATAATAATCCGTATAAATATTGTACGTGTGCTAACTAATCGTCATTCGATTCTCCTTTGTTGCGGGGGCGTGGACGCGCGATTAGAAAACACAAATAAAAAAAAAGAAAAAAAGAAAAAAAAAAGAAAATATATACTTTTCAACGCATAGTCTCTTATCTGTATCGTCTCTGAATCTGCTACAAGTAAACGCTAGAACCATCAGTCCTCAAAATATTGTTTGGTCCCTGGGTATATTCTCCCTCCACCTATATACTGTCTTGCCCGTCTAAGAAAAAAACGCTACGCATACGTATATTTATTACAGACTACCTATCACCAGCCATTTGTAACGTTGTATGGCGTGTCGCGCGATAGATTCAATTTCTGCCTACATTGATGTGATACGAGTTCTCGCTAAATTGTTTTCTAATTTGATTGCCATCGTGCGATCAATAATGATGATCATCTCAATTGATTTTAAATTCGTAATTACGTCTTCTCGAATAAAAAAAAGAGCTACTATCTCTTGAGAATCTCGCGATCAAATGCTCTTCTCTTTACGTTTCATTTTCCCGTTTTTTTTTTTTTAGATAACTATCGTCGCGCTAAGCAATTCGCGTAATTACATCGCTGCAAAGAGTTACGTAATTAGAGGTACGGGTGTACGTTCGGGACGAGTGGTAGTGTAAGAGAAACAATGTGGAGTGAGTTTCGTAAGAGAGGTGGACGGATCGAGTTGTTAGTTGTTTAGTCACTTTGTTAGATCAACCCGAGGGATTCGATTGGGATTCTAGTGGTACTTTGTAGTTATAATCGTCTCTAAGCGTAATTTAAGTCAAGCGTGTCGTAAAATGTACTCGCGAGATAAAAAAGAAGAAGAAAAAACAAAAGGAGAAAGAAAACGCGGACTATAACGAGTTCGGTTAATGTATTATATATACCATCACCGCTATATCGATAGATTAATTAAAACGATCGATTTCTTTGTTTTAGTAAGGAGAAAAACGTCTCTAAGCTGCGACTTACAGTCTACGATAAACATCCCTTCATCGAAATTATACTAAATTCAAATTTTAAAGAAAGCTTTAAAAAAAGAAAACCTATATTACACAAATACAACATTAATATCATTTATATATATATACTTCAAAAA